TAGGTCTTAGACAGGGATGTGTAATGTCACCATGGTTGTTAATATATTTATAGATGGGGTTGTAAAGGAAGTAAATGCTAGGGTGTTTGGGAGAGGGGTGGGATTAAATTATGGGGAATCAAAATTTCAAAATGGGAATTGACACAGTTACTTTTTGCTGATGATACTGTGCTTATGGGGGGATTCTAAAGAAAAATTGCAAAGGTTAGTGGATGAGTTTGGGAATGTGTGTAAAGGTTTGAAAGTTGAAAGTGAACATAGAAAAGAGTAAGGTGATGAGGGTGTCAAATGATTTAGATAAAGAAAAATTGGATATCAAATTGGGGAGGAGGAGTATGGAAGAAGTGAATGTTTTCAGATACTTGGGAGTTGATGTGTCGGCGGATGGATTTATGAAGGATGAGGTTAATCATAGAATTGATGAGGGAAAAAAGGTGAGTGGTGCGTTGAGGTATATGTGGAGTCAAAAAACGTTATCTATGGAGGCAAAGAAGGGAATGTATGAAAGTATAGTAGTACCAACACTCTTATATGGGTGTGAAGCTTGGGTGGTAAATGCAGCAGCGAGGAGACGGTTGGAGGCAGCGGAGATGTCCTGTTTAAGGGCAATGTGTGGTGTAAATATTATGCAGAAAATTCGGAGTGTGGAAATTAGGAGAAGGTGTGGAGTTAATAAAAGTATTAGTCAGAGGGCAGAAGAGGGGTTGTTGAGGTGGTTTGGTCATTTAGAGAGAATGGATCACAGTAGAATGACATGGAAAGCATATAAATCTATAGGGGAAGGAAGGCGGGGTAGGGGTCGTCCTCGAAAGGGTTGGAGAGAGGGGGTAAAGGAGGTTTTGTGGGTAAGGGGCTTGGACTTCCAGCAAGCGTGCGTGAGCGTGTTAGATAGGAGTGAATGGAGACGAATGGTACTTGGGACCTGACGATCTGTTGGAGTGTGAGCAGGGTAATATTTAGTGAAGGGATTCAGGGAAACCGGTTATTTTCATATAGTCGGACTTGAGTCCTGGAAATGGGAAGTACAATGCCTGCACTTTAAAGGAGGGGTTTGGGATATTGGCAGTTTGGAGGGATATGTTGTGTATCTTTATATGTTTATGCTTCTAGACTGTTGTATTCTGAGCACCTCTGCAAAAACAGTGATAATGTGCGAGTGTGGTGAAAGTGTTGAATGATGATGAAAGTATTTTCTTTTTGGGGATTTTCTTTCTTTTTTGGGTCACCCTGCCTCGGTGGGAGACGGCCGACTTGTTGAAAAAAAAAAAAAAAAAATTTATAGATGTACTTTTTAACGCTTAAACTGTCCAAACGTAGATCTACGTTTTTTTTACATGCTTTCTTATGGAGAAAATCAAGGTCGGAGTGCTATGCGTGAAAACATAGATCTACATTTGGACAGTTTAAGGGTTAATAATAAAATTGAATTTTCTTAAGTACTGTACACTTACCAGACTATAAATTTTTTAAGAGCCCATCAGTTACAGTCTTGTACCCATCAGATTGTCGAGACACGGCAGCAGCAACACATTATGTCTGAAAAAGATATCATGATGGAAGCTAACTGTGACTTCATTGTAAAACTATTCAAGACCTTTAAGGACCGCAAGTATCTATATATGCTGATGGAGTCGTGCCTTGGAGGAGAATTATGGACAATCCTGAGGTAGAGATAGAGGAATATTTGTTATAGAATTTTATTTAATTACAATATGTTCTGTATAATGATAATGTTTTATCATTATACAGAATGGAATGTTTTATTAAAATTCACAGGACATGGTTATTGTTATTTTGTGTAAGTATATTAGCATTAATATGTACACATCTTAGACACTCTAAATGTGAAGTAAAATTTAAAATAAAACCACAGTAGGCGCTCAGATATCTACAGCTAACAGACTTATTTTTTTTTAGTTCTGAAAATGATATCTTTTTCTAAAAAAAGAATAGGTCACATAAATGAATACCAAATTATCCAAGTTTGTACTCGTGTAAATAATTATGCAGTAAAACTAAGTACATATTAAATAAGACTAGCAGACTGTCCTCTCTCCTATTCTTAAGATATGAAAGAAAGCAACATTGTATTATCCCCACATACAATGGTACCCCGAGTTTCGGCCACCTCCCAACTCGAACAGTCATTTAAGTGTATTATTATAAGTGCTTTTGTAAGTGTATTTTTGGGGGTTTGAAATGGACTAATCTAATTTACATTATTCTTTATGGGAACAAATTCGCTCGGTAACGGGACTCGAACAGCCTTCTGGAACGAATTATGGCCGAAACTCAGGGTTCCACTGTATGTACTTACTTTGGAGTTGAACCACCTCCAGTTTATTCCAGCACTGTTGAATGTTGCTTGTTTTGGCTTGGAGAAATAGGATGCACATGTAGTAACAAGCAAATAAATAGGCAAGAAAGGTACACATGAGCAAACATTAGGACATTTATTAGAAATGTTTCGGTCCTGGGACCTTGATCACTTCTAACACACTGAAGTTGAAAATAACAGTAAATATATCCAGAAAGTGGGGTGTGAGTGTCACATAGTGACCTGAAAAATGCAGGTGAGGCTTTTTTGAGGTGAGGTCATGTGATTCTTGTGTTGTGAAATAGGTTGGGATTTGCCTGGTTGACGATCATGTATGCCAGAGTTTTTGCTATTTTGTAGCTTCCAATATTATGTTTCACGGCATCGTTGATGATGATTTGTAAGGCTTTTAGACATTGTCAGCATCTGAGATCATGTTTATTGAGGATGTGTTGTGTTTCATTCCAATTTGTTGGTATCAGTTACCAAGGTTTATACCATAATTATTTACACCTGGAAAATCATGGAGGTATTGAACCCTAGCCTGAACATTGAAATCACTCCAAATGACAACAAGAGACTTGGCAGATGATGCAAAATACCACGAATAAAAAGCTGGGGCTCAACAAATACTCTTAGGAAAGAACATGTTGAGTGTCAGAAATCCCTGGCTCAATGCCCTTCCTCCATGCATGAGGAAAATTACCAACAAACCTCTGGCTGTCTTCAAAAGGGAACCAGACAAGTTTCTCAAATCATTGCCTGACCAGCCAGGCTGTGGTTTGTATGTTGAACTGTGTATGATCAGGCCTTGATCCTCCAGGAGGCCTGGAGGATCAAGGAGGATCAACACCCCCATGGCCTGGTCTGGGACTGGGCCATGGGGGTGTTGACCTCAGGAAGTGTCCTTCAGGTAATTTGTGATAATAAACACTTTTTTTTTTATCTGGAAATAAAAAAATACTCCACTCTTATAGCTCTTGTTAATTAATCAAGTGTGCTTAATACATAAAATAATTTGTAAACTTGTTTGCTGTGATGTTGGTCTGAAAACTTGTCCTGTAAAGATTTATGAAAAAATTCAAAGTAGGCTTATGTAATTCAGTCATTTTAAAACAGATATTGAAAATACCATACCTGGCAGTTTTGTATTATTTGAAAAATATTAACAAGGCGATAATAATGCAAAATTCAACAAAGTTTACAAAAATCCAAGTTGAAGATACTGAAGTTCTTTGAGTTGTGTGTGGTTTTAAAAGTACAGTACATGTATGTGCTCTGTTTCTTTTTTATTTTGACTAATATTTTGAGAACACTGTTGTGATAATTACCTATCAAGATCTTTGATGGTTCTGCAAGGTAGATACACACCAAAGTGTAATGAGAATTATAGTAAGTTAGACTTTCTTGTGATGGAGCCTACTGAAACTGATGTGCAGGAGTTAAGCCCAAGTATGATGTTAAAATCAGTGATTAGTGATCAGTGGAAATTCTGTACAGTATATATCATGAAAGTTTGATGATATATAACAGATATTGAGAAATTTGGTTTTGAAAGAGGTTTGTAAAATACAGACACTGTGAAAGGATATGATACTTGGATATTTGGGGAGGGTCAGACGAGGTATTAGCAAGGTAATGCACGTCACCATAGTCGCATGGAGAATTTGAATTGGGAAGTACAGGTCTCCCTCAACATTCGGGTTTTCCACTTTCATGGGCTTCGAACATTCACAAATTCCCAGCTGCCCAATCGTATTTAAAATATGTCATTACATGTGTTAGGAATTGTGGCGGTGGCAGAGTTTGTTTGGAGATAAGACAAGATAGTCCTTCAATATGACACTAATATCAACTCTGCAGCTTATTTATCTATCACAATTCATCAAATATGACATAATAAGCAATATTAATAACATAGAAACATGACATATACTCTAGAATGAATAAAATATGCCATTAAGTATGTCATGAGTGTTGCTGTGTTGTTGTTGGGTGCATAAGGGCCACTGGTGGAGGCGGCATCAGAGGCGGTAGAGACTAGAGATGGCGGTGTTGTCAGTCACCTTACATAACTCCAACAACATTGGAGGAGTTAGGTTTGTGATGTCCTTTTTCTATTGATTAATTGCTTAACTTACTTGCTATTTTGTTAATGCTACACTTTATCGCTGGCTGGCGCTATAGCCTTTAGCAACTTGTGCTGCTTTAGTATCATACATATCGAAGAATCACTGAATCACTGAAGGCGGCACATTCTCCCCACTCTCTTCCTCCTCCACTTTGGTACTCTGCTACGAGTTCTTTCTTGAATTCTATAGTTTTTCTCACCTTCTTTACCAAAGGGCTGGCACTAGTACAATATTTTACGATGTTGTCATATGTTTTATGATTGTTCACGGTTCAATAGGTTAAGGAAGCAGTATTGTATTGTATTTCCCTACAATATATTGGGGCACCAAACATTCACGATTTTTCAACATTTCCAAGGTTCTTTATCCCCTAAGCCTCGCGAATGTTAAGGGAGACCTGTACAAGGAAAATGTGGAGGATGGTGAGAGTTGTCCTTGTACTCCTCAAGAGAGTTATTGAATTGTATGAGGGTAAGATGTCTGGAAGTAGTCTGCCCTGTCCTCTGCTGAGTTATGTAAAATAGTGAATTGAATGAAAGTGTTTAAAAAAGTAACTTATTTTGGCAACATTCTTGCAAATTGCCATACTTAGAAAGATTAGAATGTTACAGTATACAGTACCCCCTAGGGGAGGTGTCTTGATGCGAGTGAGGGGCTTTTGATCCAAGGAATTTGACCTAACCTTCCTTGAATTAAGCCTGATTGCCTCTCATTCTTCAGGGGCTGTATAACTCCTACAGGTTTAATACTTATCCCTTCCCCAAATATAATAATAATAAAAATAATAATAATAATAATAGTACCAAAGTAGTTTTGAGAGCTTTTTAATTTTGTTATATCTTCATTTATATTGATTTATTTATTTATTTGAATTGTGAAACATACCTAACTAATTAACCTACATGATGCTGACACTGCCACTTATATTGTTCCTAATTTTAACAAATAATGATGCATATTGCTGTATTGCTCTCTGTGCTACTGGTCACCTCATCATCAGGATTAATCACAAACCCATTTTGCTGACATTTATTTCCAATTTCTTAACCCATAAGGAGACAGGAGCGTCCTGTGATGTGTGGACTCGGCTTTGTATCTCAAAAAAGGTAAAATGATGTTTAACCTGTGTGCAGTGCAGTGCAACCCTTATATAGCAGCCTTATTATGTGCCAGTTTTACTGTCCATGCCGTACATGTCGTCTTTTGCTATTGTACGGGGAAATTAACAGAGAAAAGGAATGTGTATTTACTTAAAGGGATCATTACTAAATGGATCACACCACCTTAATTCAGTGTTGTCTGTTGTCTTACTAAGAGGCAGTTAGCAGAATAGTCAAGTAAATAGTGGCTCTGCAAGGTGTGTACATATGGTACAGCATTCATTAATTTGTTAGTATAGCAAAGAGCTTATTCTGAAATAACATGCATTTAGATTAACAGATTTAAGTTATCTTAGACAGGTTCCATTTAGCAGCACAGTATTATTATATTTACATATCATCTTCCTGTTGTGACATGCATATTCAGCTACATATTGTAAATAGGTTTTTCAAGACTTTCTTGTTTAAAATTGAGCCAGTTTATTTCCTTCAAGGTCGTCTTGTTATAGCGATGATCCTGTTACCCTCAAAATGTTTTTACAATATTAAAAAAATAATTTAATGGCATTGGCATATTGTTAATTCTTTGCTCAGCTATTTGGTTTTGGTTTGTAATTCTTTTTCAGAGTGCATGATTACAGTGGTGATATCTTCCTCCTTTAGACTGTTGAGTTATTGTAGTAACATCATTCGTTACTAGAATGTTTTTAAAATATTGGTGGACTGTTCCAGTTGTGGTTCAGACAGGTTTCTCACAACATGCATTTATGAATAATAATAATTCTCCATGGTTAAGTGGAACAGAATTTTTCCTCCGTAAGCCATGCATGTTGTAAGAGGCGACTAAAATGCCGGGAGCATGGGGCTAGTAACCCCTTTTCCTGTATACATCACTAAATTTAAAAAGTGAAACATTTGTTTTTCTTTTTGGGCCACACTGCTTTGGTGGGATATGGCTAGTTTGTTGAAAGAATAACACAGTAGGGCTCCACTTATATGGCAGGTTAGGTTTCAGGCTACTGCCTTAAAGTGGACATCGCCTTAAAACTGAACACCATCTTTTTTTCCACTTATAAATGCCAGACAACAAGTTTATGCTAACTTATATTAAGTTAGTAATAGAACTAGGCATTAAAAACACAATAAAAAGTAAAATGCACAAACTACACCCATTACTTACCTTAAAACATTTGTAGTTTTAATGTAAGGTGAGAGGCGAGTCGTATTTATTTGTAGGAAGTCAGGTGTGGGAAGTGTGGTAGCCAGCCAGGGCAGCCCACCCCACCCCACCCCACCCACAAGTAATATACAACATTTAAAGCACCCCAGAGCGATAAAATACATATACAGCAGGGCCCCGCTTTACGGCGTTTCACTTTACGGCGTTCCGCTAATACGGTCATTTCAAATTATGACCAAAACTCGCTATACGGCTCCCCCCACCTGACTTTCTAATATGGTTACCGCGCCCCACCCTGTTTGTTTACATTCTTCGTGAGCTCAGTAAGCACTAAGTCTCTCCATTTTGTCTGGAAACTCCAAAATTTCAAATGTTTTTTAAAAGTTATTTCATATTTTATATATACTCTGATAATTATACTTATGTATACCTGTACTTAAATAAACTTACATACTGTGCTGGCATGCAGGTACACATTAAAATCAGTAAGAGTGTCTTATGTCTCCAGACGTCATATTAGTAATGATAATAATAATCATCGAGTCTCATTTAAATGTTGTATATTACGTTAAATACACATTTTCATTAATCCATCTATGATATTTTTTCAAAATTATATAATAAACACGATACATAACATAAAAAGATGATAAATACACCCCACAATAGAATAAATAAACATAAATATGAGATGTGGTAGCAGACGACTTGCACAAGTGACGCTATATTAGAAATGATAATAATAATAATAATCACCGAGTCTTATTAAATGTTATATATTACGTTAATATACGCATTTTCATTAATCTATCCATGATATTTTTTTTTAAATTATATAATAAACACGATACATAACATAAAAAGATGATAAATACACCCTACAATAGAATAAATAAACATAAATATGAGATGTGGTAGCCAGATAACTTGTACAAGTGATGCCAAGAATAACATTTTCTCTAATCTAACATAAGAGAAAATGTGTTACTGGGGGTAACTGTAGAAAATTATTCCTTTCGTATGTATGTAAGTAAGTTTATTCAGGTATACACAAATACAGTTACATAGATTATCATACATAACAACACATGTGTAGAGAACCTAGGATAACCCAAAAAAGTCAGAGTGACTTATTTCCATTGCCTTCACTCAGAGCATCATTTCTTCTCAAAATGATGTTACATGAGAATGGGAGTGTTCTTCTTTATTTATTCTACCGTATCAATGTAGAGACAACCTGTACACAATGTAACTTGTACACAAACCAGACGTGTACACTTTGTTTACAAAACTTACCTTCGCCTGGTTTGTTTACATAACTCTGCGCCTGTACTCTCTCATGCACTCATTCTTTCTCTCTCTCATTTATTCGTTTTATCTCATTTACTTACTCCTGACCCTACATTAAGACTACAAATATTTTAAGGTAAGTAATGAGTGAACTGTATATACATTTTATCGCTCTGGGATGCTTAAATGTAATAGAATATTATGTGTAGGTGGGTTGGCCTGGTATGATAGCCCGGCTGACTACCATACATACCACACTTGATTTTTTACAATAAATACTACTCATCTCACCCTATATTTTAAGGTAAATAATGAGTGAACTGTATATACATTTTATCGAAAAAAGAAAATATCATATATGGATTAATGGAAATGTCTATATTAATGTAATATATGAGAGATCATTATTATTATTAATATGGCATCAAGAGTAGAGAAACTCAGTGATTTTAATGTGTACCTGCATGCCAGCACTGTGTATAAGTATATTTAGGTACAGGTACACACAAGTATAATTATCAAAGTACAGTGGACCCTCAGTTAACGCCTTTAATGAGTTCCAGAGAGCTAGGCTTTAACCGATTTAGCCTTTAACCAAATTAATTTTCCCAACAAGAAATAATGGAAATCCAATTAATCCATTTCAGACACTCAAAAGTATTAAACAAAATAATTGTTTTTACATGAAATATACATTTCCCTACACAGAAAACAATGATACATGAAGAATGAAACAATAATAGCATCACACTTACCTTTATTGTGGACTTGTTGATGAGTGATGAGATGGGAGGAAGGCAGAGGATGAAGGTGTTCTATTGTTTGGAAGGGGAATCCCCTTCCATAAAAACTTCAGGTAACAAGTCCTTTTCTGGCTTGTGTCCTGGGAGTGCCTTTTCCTCCTGAGCAATGTAGGTCCTGTTTGGCATTTTCTTCCTAAACAGGCTTGTTTCGTCACAATTGAACACTTGTTGGGGTTTTAATTTTTCAGCCTCTGTGTACCCCTTAAAGTCCTGCACATATTTTTCAGCCGCTTTTTGGTCAGAACTGGCAGCCTCACCATGCCTTATCATACCATACCACCATCACAATCGTTACCACCCTCTACCACCACCACTGCCACTCTCTACCACCATCACTACTACCACCACTTGTATTTTTCTACAAACTTTTTCTTAAATTATATGTTTCTCACATTCTTTACCATAGGGCTGGCACTAGAAGCTTTCTTGGGATCTATGGTGGCTTATTTAGTAGTTACAAGTACCAAAAACAGTGGAATAATACAAAATATATTGCATGTACATGCAGAATTGTCCTCACTGGCTTTGTAAACAACGGCACACTGGCTGGTACACATCAGGGTGCCTTGCGGACACGTTCGGGACGAAAGCTCCTAACCCGAGTTTTTAGGTGTTACCCGAGCCAATTTTTTTATGCCAGTGTGAGGTGTTATCCGATTTTGGCATTATCCGATGCAGGTGTTAACTGAGGGTCCACTGTACATATAAAATATGCAATAACCTGAACCCTTTCAGGGTCCAAAGGCTAAATCTCAGAGTGACAGCCAGGGTCCAAGAATTTAAAAAAAAATTTTTTTTGTTAATTTTTCTTATGAAATGGTAGAGAGCCTTTTTCTCAAGGTAATAAAGCAAAAAGTACAAAATTTGATGGAAAATTGATGAAATTACACACTCACGAATTTTGATGTTTCACTGATATTTATGCATCGGTGATTTTACTGAGCTTGATTCCCATTTTAGGCCAATTATATTATTCCAGTCAACAAAATTCTTAGCTATTTCACTAGTATTACTTCTATTTTATCGATTGAGCACAAGAAATCACCCAGTCAACTGTTTCAGCTACCCAATAAAGTGATCGGAAATTGGTAATTTGGCCAATTTCACACAGAGTTCAAAATATTCCAATTTCAAAATAGGGTCCAGAATAAACAATGCAGGCATTCCTGGCACTAAACTGACATTTCCTCTGTTCATTAGTTACATTTTCAGGTTTTACAAATGAATTCCATTTTGATTTTTTATTCACATAATGAATTTTTATTCACCAAAAAATAGAAGATTTACTGTTATACAGTGTTGTAATAATTGTACACATAATATCAGCACATTCATGAATGTATGTTAGACCCACCAGCTGACGCATATTAGACTCATGACTACATTTGTTTACTCTTGAACATCAGAAATTGAACATTTCCACTCATTTGTGCTCAGTTTCAAGCCATTTTCAGTACTAAAACCAATCAAAATCATCTCTGTTTCTGTAATATATATTCCATTCTATCAAATGAGACCAAGAAATCTTGAATACAACTGTAAAAAACATATGAAAAAAAAATGCATAGTCGCTGCTTTAATCCAAAATTATGGTCGCAGTTTTTTTCTCTCATGCACTGCGTGCTGCAGGATTTGTTTTATATGGTGCACACATACCACATAGATGTGTTCTCTCATATCTAGGCCCAAATTTTCCACTAACAGGTTATCTGAGTGAGCTGAACTTATGGCGT